TTCCTGCTGCCTGGAGGCAGCTCCAGGGCAGATTCTGCTTCAGGTGGGTTTGGGAAAGTGCTGTGCTCCTGGGAGGGGCGGGGCAAGAAAGACCTGAGATTTTTTTTCCGCATCCCAGACTTTTCTTTCTGTGTGTAGGGCAAAGCATCCCTGTTTCTTCTCTCGCCCTGCTGTGTTCGGGCAGTACTAAAGAGTAGGAGGAAAAGCTGCCTTCACAGACCTCTATTACTTACACGGTTTTAACTAGAATGTACATATTTTGATAATTCGAAACTCAAAAAATGTGTCAGTATGCGTGTGTGTTTGGTTTGTTGTTTTGGTTTTTTTTTCCTACGGCTCAAATATTAATTAAATTTCTTTACTATCTCTTAACAGGAACAGTGAAGACACCCAAATTTAAGCCCGATCCAAAACTTATGGACCACGGTCAGTCAAGCCCAGAAGATGTGGATCTGTACAGTACTAGAAGCTAAGACAAATCTGCTTACAAATCTTTGCAAAGTGTTACAGATAAGGGGGAGGGAAGAAGGGAAGAAATAATCCTTACAGTGCATACTCTGTGAGGTATAATTTAATCAGATGTTTTCTACTGTCCCAATTTGTAGTACTGACTTACATAATTCTGTTTAGCGAGGATTTTGTTTCTCACTACCTCTAAGCAGCGAGAATTCACTCACTGTTGGTGTCATTAGGGAGACACCGAGAAAAGTGAGGTTTGCCAGTGTCTTCTCACAATGAGGTTTCTCTGTGCCAAGCTTGTTAATAAATGTCACTTCACAAAGGATATTTGAAAATGTAAACATATATCTCTGTGCTTTGGCTCGGATGTTCATTGATCTGAAAGAGGGATGTGATGGATGAGGGGCCTTTGTCTTTTTTCTTCCTGCTCTGGAACGAAGTGCAACTTCTTCTTGGTCCAAGTACCCTTAAAAAGTTGGTTGTTCTATCATGCAAAGAGCATTATCTTTCATACTTGTACGAACAAGGCACTTTTTGATTCATTGCAAAGCCATTTGGTGGTGTTTGCCTCTTTCATAAAGGTGAATGGAAATAACTTCTCATCCTGCAAGCTGTTGGTGTGTTTAAATGTGACTCAAGTTGGGGAAAACCACACAGAGAGCCTCTAAAACAGCCTTTATAGACTATGCATTAGTTTTCAGCTACTTCTGGTACTTTGAAGAAGAACTGTACGCAAATTGCTTGATTCACAAAACTGTTTGGATTGATGTAGAGTGCATTAGCAGTGTGTAGAAGGTTGGAAACCTTCTCTAATTCCAAGTTTTAAAGTGCTGACAAGTAGTAGGCAGCCAACATTTTCATCCCAGAAGTTTGTGTGCAATACCCATCGATCTTGGTAGGATTTCTGTGAAATTCTGCCTTTTTCTATAAGAACAAAAATGAGAAATTGATTGAGTTTCCTAGGATGAAATCTCCAAACACTGCTTTTATCATTGTATATATCACTCCACTTCTGTTCATCTCCTTTTCTCTTCAAAATGCTCTTATGGGGGCTGGACTACACCTGGTGATCTTTGAACAAAGTACAACTCGGTACCAGTGCGCGATGATAATCAGCTCTCGGCCTAGAGGTGATCTCATCTCTGTTGGCTGTGGTACTTCCCTAATATATCAAGTGCAGAAGGACCACGCCGGTAGTTTGTCCTTCAATCTGCTGAATATTCCTGTCTTTCAATTAGCGAAAATACGTACTTTGTTGTAAAGTTGAGGCGGCGGGGAAACGAGCAAACTGTACAGACAGATAGTTTGGTTGAAAGGCTTCAACCCGAAAAGAAATTCCGCTTCATGCAAGTGTATTTCACAGCCCGATTTCTTCTTGCAAGGCTGCTAATGGAAAGGCAAACGGCTTGGATGCAGGCGGTGCCCCTGGTGTCCCCGTGGGACTCGCAGAAGTGAGGAGATGCCGCACAATGGAATGTGCACGAGGCACAAATGATGAATGAGCAAAACGATAAGTTAATGCTTTTACAATGATTGGGGAACAGGAAGGCATGGGTGTTTTGGAATCCAAATTTCGGGCAAAGCGTTGGGCTTTGTTACACAGAGTCCAGTGGAAAGTGAAGTCGGTAAATGTGAAGTTTAAAGCAGAATTCTTTTAGGTGAGCTTCCTTGGGACAGCTGTCTTAGAATTTGATGTGTTTTGTTTCTTTAATCATCTCTTACGGCCCAGGAAACTGTCAGAATTTAGGCAGCAATCAGAGGATATTAAATCAATCTTCACAGAGCTCCTGGACGAGACACATTTAGTGTCTCTATCACAGAGGGAGCAGTAGAAAAATTAGATTGCTGGGCTTCAGAACCATTTCCAGGGAAACGGATGAAGACGTAAGGCAGGAAGTGAAAATGGTGAAGAAACTATCATTTTCAAGTGCAAGATTGGATGGCAGAAATCGTATTATCTATCTCCCTTTGATCAGATTCTGGATAAAAAGCATAAAGGAAAAGCCATCTGCTCTACTCCTAGATTCTATTTAAATTCTAACTGATGTCCTTTGAGTGATAAGCTACCACGACAAGTCAACAGGACAGGTAAGGTGATGCAGGTATGCGTGGATTTTGTAGGGTTTTAGTGATGGTATTGGAAAACTGTCCAGAGGAATTAGTCTCCTGAGAGCAGGGAGAGAAGCTGCCTTGGAGAGCTGTCAAGGAAGAAGCGTGTCTGCCCTTGCCAGGCGAGAATAGACCTTAAAAGCCTTTCCCCTCCCTGCGGTGCCAAAAGCTGCCTGGGTCCTTCCCGTGCTTTAAGGCCATCACCGCTCAAATCTTGATAGGCAGGTGCCTGGTCTGCAAAACCTACCTTGGGCTCCTCGGCGGTTAGGCAGTCCAGAATGAGATGTTTCATGCAAACTGATTTTACAAGAAGTTCATGCTGCAAACGGACGTGGTACACGAAGCCGTCCTTAGGCTGGGTTTCAGTCTCCAGTTCCGCCTTTGGGCAAAGCTGTAGTAGAACATTGCCCCAGAGTTACGTTGTCGTTCTGAAGTCTTAAATACATTTTCTGGCGTGTAACTGGACTTGACTTTGAAGAGTGAACAGGAGGAGAAACACAGTTCTGGAGCTGATAAAATGATGTTTCCCTGTGCTGTTTCAAGCGAGCCAGCGCCCGTCTGTTCCAGCACAGGGTTTACCTGCTACTGTCACTTTCTAGTGTTTTTGTGTCAGTTGAGATTTCACTTTCTCATTCTTCTGTACCAAACAGGGTAACTTTTGTTTGTTTTCTGTCAGTGGTTTGTGGTTAATATCCTCACCCACTTGAAAAGCTGGGACTAAAATCAGAGGCTTGGATTTTGGCCCTGAAACAGATACAGCTAAAGATGACCGTTTCCCTATCTGCAGCTGAAGAAAATGGGACAAAAAAATACAAAAAGTTTAGTATCCTCTCTGGGGTGTGTTCTCTGTTTTCAGAAAGACTGTAACCGATCTCTCAGTTGGGATTTCTCTGTCCTGGAGCATAGATTTATTAATAGTGGGAGGAAATTTTTTAGTAAATCATGGAAAGTACTATAATAGAAGTTTGCTAACATAAACTTCTCTTAGAGTTGCTCATTGTCCTGTCCACCCGTGTGAGACGCAACGGTGAGAGAAATCCCTAGAGTGACCAAAAAAGACTCAGGTTTTTATAGTGAAGTTTGGAACGTATTTGGTGGCATGAGATTGCTGATTGGGCCCTCGTACAGATACTGGGATGGTGACAGCAAATCTTTGTTATGAAAGTGTTTCTTTTTTGTGAAGTGTTTCTCTTTCAAACATGAAGAGGTGCCTGCCCTCTTCCATTCCGACAGCTCAGCCTCCACCTTCTATATCGGGCTCTACAGACGGCTTGTTCCAGAGAACTACAAGGAATTGTGGCCACCTCTCCGTATTAATATTTTATAGTAAAGGTGCTGTGCAACCGCTTTAAAAAAGCAAATTCAACTGTGCGTTGTGCCATGCGTATGAGCCCTCATTTTAACTACATGTGCCTGACTTGGTCTCTTTAAGATTTCACACCCGGTACACAAGCGTGTTAAACGGTGAGAAATGAGCATTAAGTACACAGGAAAAGTTGCATTGAAAGACGTGGTTTTATTAATTTATAGTGGAACACTTTTTGAAATGCCTCTCAGATGTCACCTCAAGTTTCTTCCGTGATGCAATAATGCAGTAACCTAACAAAATTAAGAATGTACACTGTAATTTTTATATGATGTAAGATATATTTGTGGAAAATATTATGTCTTAAAGAACTGGGTTACATGAACTTATTTTATAATACAGAAATAATTTTAATTTAATGCATGTTTTTATTTATGATTGACTGTATTCGATACATAGAGACTGGGAACTTGTTGATACTTTTTATTTACATAAAACTGATTGTGATACTTTATTTTGTCATATCTTTGTGAAGCACCTGAAAATAAAGGGTGATAAGATACTTGAAAGCTAAGTTTAACTTTTGTATGTTGTCTCATCTGTAGGGCAGATCGTCAGTCCCTTTTCTCTGAAGTATGTTTTAAAAGTGAATCGGTAAACATGACCAAGTCACACCTATTTCACTAATGTGAGGGGAAAAACCTCCCGTATTGAAATACGCAGTCCTGGAAAAAATCACCAGAGTAGCATGCAGGAGGTATTAGCGCTCAGCGTTCAGTTGGTTATTCGTCTCACGTTTTGAGAAGTGCTTTCATTTTAGCAATTTCTTCTAAAGGGTGCTGTAACTCAGAACTTGAAAAAAATAGGACTTTTATCACTGCTGAAAGGCTGATACCAATTGTGAAAAGAATGAGGCGGACAGCAAATAAATTTACCTCAGTTTGGCTCCATGATAATCTTCCAGGTATGGTAATTTGCAATACAGGAGTCCTGGATAGTGCAATCCATGGTGTAACTGGCAGTGTAACTACTTAAAGCACAACATTTGTGTGAACAAGTAATGTGGTTGTTTTAATGAGTGTTACAGTTCTTAGTTATCGTTATGATTCTCGAACTTAGGAAGTATTGTAAAGATTTTAATACACCGATATAGTTATCCTGTAGTGAAAGTTTGGAGTGTGTGCTTTTAATACAAAAAGAGGGTGAGGTGCTGCAAAGCGTGTACTTTTTAAAAGGAGCACTAGTATGTCCTAGATCTTGTGAAGTTTTTATTTTAAATTGCAAAGATTCTAAGAAGTAAAGTTAAAGGCTGTAATTGAAACCATGCCAGAGCTTATATGAGTTACATTAGCACAGCGTTGATGTGCCCTTCTTGTAGACGAGAGCAAGTGTACAAACCAAAGCGAACTGCTAAGGAAAGGGGAATTGAAATGCTGGAAAATCTTCTTGTTACACTGATTTTTTTGTTTGAGGAAGCTCCTTTATGTTTTAAAGTCTAAGGGCCAGATCTCTTCCGTGTTACAAAAAAATGGCTATGTCAGTACATACTACTAAGTTGTAGAAGAAGAGAAGGGAGAGGGAACTAAAAGTAACAAAAGT